TATCTGCCTTTCTCTTCTCACACACTGAAGACCTTCCCTTTGTCTTGCCACTCAGATGCTTCTCTTCAATATGTCTATGTGAACATTTACTACCATCTGCCAATAACCAAGCTCAGGGTAACCAATTCTTAGGGAGAGGCTATTGTTACTTTCTGGAGCAAAGATAGAGAAAATAGGCTTGTTTTGCAGATTTTCCCTACCTATATTTTGGATGAGGAAAAAGCTACATGAAGAGTTTCTGTTTATTCAGGTGTTTCCAGTTTAGATCCTGAAGTTTGCAAGCCCCTTGTCCCAGTCTCCTGCTTTCTCACATGGTTGTTAAATTTCCTAGTCTTGAAGTACTTGGATTGTCTTTTGTTTCAGGACAATACAAATTTTACCATTCCCATTTTCTGAGTTCCTGCTCAATCTGAATCTTACTGGCTCTTAAGGCTTCTTTGTAAACTCCTGGAAGCTCAGCAATGTGTAGTATATAAAAGGATATTTCCTATTCTTCATCTAGTATATAGGTATTATAATGGTAAAGGCTTTTAAGGATACCTACTTTTCTGAACTAACTAGTTTAGAAGCAGAACTTTTGGCAAATATTTAAAAGCACTTACAATACTTAAACTTTTACTATGTTTAAGCATTGTTATATGGTTACAACCACATGTTCATGGGAACCAGAAGGGGTAAGAAGATACACCAAGCTTTTGGAATTTTGCTGTCTTGTCGAAGGACAAAACCACTAACAGGTAACAATTAGAGAACAATTCAAGAATAAACTCAGAAGTTGTCTATACACGGTTTGTTCAGAAAAAAGAAAGACTTGTATACAAATTGTTGGTAATTAGACTTTAGTGTGCTCCCAGATTACCCTATATGGTTGCCCTTCAACTTTGCCTGAAATTGGCTATGTTTCTGAATGTGTGGCTACATAAAATCTTTAGCATGAATGATGGATCCCAGGAGACCTCAGTCATAAATAGAAATTCTGAGATTTTTTATTAATGGAATAAAGAGACCTACACCAAAATTGTAACAGAAAATTTCCCCTTCCTCTGCCAGAATACTTAAGTTTTTTAGTTGCCCAGATAATAGTTCCTGTTCCAATTGTGGTTGCTTCTGTCTCTTAGAAACAGCTGGTCACTATGTTGCACAGCAATCCCCAATTGACAAGTCATTCTGCCTCTGTACTTTCTGCTTGCTTATCCCATATAAGCACTAGGCCACCAGAGATTAGAGTCTGATATTCTGGAAATGATCCCAAACAGTGCCCACCAACACAAATAAATCTGCCTCCAAATCCTGGATATTGTTTTGGTGTTTCGACTTGCCATTGCATCTGGTGCATTTTTGGTCACTGATCGGGAAGGCACATTCTTGAGATTTCTTGAGTCCCCTTCGGAGGTCTGGAGAAGAATTCCTGCTCAAGCAGCTCACATTGTGTCTCAGAGGGAAGAGGATATAATTTGTCTGTCTGTGTCTATCTTCCTTCCTGATTTGACAAAATCTCTAGGACACCCCATCTGTCTGTTAGTCCTGCTCAGTTCAAGCAGAAGAGCTTGATCAACTCTTGTCACTTAAGGCCACTTAAGGAGGGTTGGAATGTTTAGCCCCTGAGTGCCTGCTAAATGGATGTATGTGTGAGAGGAATGGACAGTGTAAGCAATAGGCTGTTCTGTCTGTGCACCAAGACTGAGAAGAACTGGTGGCTGATTGGTAGTGGCTGATTGGACCCTCACCTGCAGTTCCCTGGCAATTGACATATGGCATAAGGGAAGCCTTGTACCCTCCTTATCTAAGCCATGCCTAAGTCCTCATAAGAGGTGTGGCCAGATGGGCATCTGAATGGTATCTCTCTGAGAGGAACCCTCTTTTGTCTGTGTGCCATTGTTCAAGGGCACACAATACTCACTAGAAAGTCAGAGATGGAAACTAATTAGTCAAAACCCACTGTCCCTGACTGCAGGTAAATAGGCTTTTATGGAGTTAAAAATGAAACCAAAACATTTTCTGTATTTCAAAGGAAATAAAAGAGAAAAGACAGGCCTATTCTGCCTGAGAATTCCACCCTGGCACCCTCTTTGATGGCTGCAGTTGCTGCCAACACCTATAATTTCACTCCCCACTCCTGACTTGTCTATTTCCAGCTAAGCAAAATGGTTCCAGCTAGCCGTTGCCTGCATTTGGCCACATAGCGCCCCCTCTAGAGATGCACCTATCCTGGTCAGATGGCATCATTTAACACCCACCAAAGATAACAGTCAACAACTCCTTCTGAGTTTCACATTTTGACTGAAGAAAAATTGGTTTTTCTTCATATGAGTTTCACCCTGTCAGGCTTGAATAGGTAGGACAGACTGAACTTTACCAAATAGGGTCCCTGAGAGTCCACAATGATTGCAAAAGTCAGGAACAAACATGTGCCTTTCCTGGTAGACAATGGGACAGAAATCTCTGCCTTCAACATTCCTTCTGTTAAAAAGTTACCATCACTGGGGAAATTGGAACTCTTGCCTCTTGCCCTCTGGATGCTGACCACTGTATGCATGACTAAAGCCTGAGAACATTATTTGCTGGATTGCTCCGTACCTATTCCACTTGATTATCATGACTTTTTAGGCTACTTACCCCAGCTCTTGCTTCCCTGCTGCCCTGCTAACTGTGCTTTTTGTTAATTGACCTGGATCCTGCTTATCTCAGTCCTTGCTTCCTCATCCCCTGCTCATTGTGTTTTTTTGCTTTACACTGTATGGATGGTTGCCCCAAGAGAATAGAGCAATCAATCAAACAATTGATCAAGATTTGATGAGCATCCAAGACACAATGGATATTCTTCTAGATCAGATTATCTCTCTTGCCAAGCTAATGTTCCAGAACAGACAGGCCTAAATTATGTCTCTTACTGAAAACAACTTAGGGAAAAACTCTATAATAAGATATTTTGGGTAGTTTGGCTAGGGCCCATCCTAGGATCACTGACTGGACCTTCTAGTTGGGCCTTGTCTCAAAAGATCACATATAATATGCCCAGTAAAGTTTTTTTGGGGAAACTAAGAGAGGGGGAAAATGTAACAGAAAAAGGCACCCTAGCCAGTGTACTTCAGTTTCTTAGTTGCCCAGGTACTAGTTTCTATTCCAGTTCCAGTTGCTTCTGTTTCTTAGAAACAGCTGGTCACTGTGATGCATAGTTGGTCAGTATGATGCATGTTGTATAAAACAGTCCCCAGTTGACAAGACATTCTGCTTTTGTACTTCATACTTGCTTATTCCATATAAATCCTAGACCACTGGACATCAGGGCCTGATATTCTGGGAATGATCCCTATCAGTGCCCATCAATGAAAATAAATCTTCCACCAAATCCTGGGTGTCATTTCAGTGCTTCTGTTTGCCATTGCAAAATCAGGGCCAGGAGAATTTTTATTTCTGGTTCTGTCACTAACTACAAATATAGTGTTATGGTTTGTGTCTGGATGTCCCGCTAACACCTCATGTGGTCATAGAAAATGGGCCTTCTATGGGTGGCTGAATCTAGCATTTGTGATTGGTTCATTGTCTACTCCTGGGACTGGTGCTCTGAGTGCTGAACCTGCCCTTGGGCAGGTAGTCTGGATACAATATAAAGGAGAGAATGTGGCTTGCTCCTCCCTTTTTTGCCCTTTTGCTCTTGTGATCTTTCATATCTGCTGCAGCCATCATGAAAGATTGCCTTTCATCTGCACCATCCTGCCTTGAGGCCAATTGAGTATGGACTGAGACATCCACAAACTAAGCTAAATAGACTTTTCTTTCCTTCATTTTGTGTGTCAGGTATTTTTATCTCAGCAACAAGAGAAAAGACACCTAGGTACTTCATTCTCCTTTTTGGCCTTTAGGTTTTCTATCTACTGAGTGAAAGTAGTGCTGTGTTATGTTAATTCTCAATACATTTGTAAAATGTTTAAGAGGTCATTGCCTGTGATTGTCATCATTTACCTATAGAAAGAGTTTCTCTGGGAGTTGAAGGTACACACTTGCTTCTGTAACTTAGCTCCTCTCCTTTTGGTGCTTCTTACAGGCTAAAGTTTATGCTGATCATAATGTAATGTGCATTTGGTGAATTCTCAGAGTTACCTGTATACTTGTAACAACAACCAATCAAGTTAAGGAAGTGATTGTCAATTGTAGTAACTATAAACAACTAACAGTGAAAAATGTCCTTCATATTTAATCAAAATCCTTGACTATAAGAGTATCAGATTAGTTTTAAAGTTTAAAGGAAAGCAAATCTTGAAGTAGGGTAATGTAAATAGTTAACATTTCTCTGTTAAGAGAAGAATCTATGGGGGCTGGGGGTTTAGCTCAGCAGCGTAAGCACCTGCCTTGCAAGCAGGCAGTCGTGAGTTCGATCCCTGGTACCAATAAAAAGGAAAAAGACAAAAAAAAAAAAAAAAAAAAAAAAAAAAAAGAGAAGAATCTATGGTGTGCTGGAAACATTCTTTTGAATAGCCATTATAAATGGCCTAGGCCCAGTAGACTTTTGTATTTTAAATCCATGACCTCAGAATGTGAGTAGTGATGGGGAAAGAGATAGAGAAGAGATTGAGGGAGGGTTGAGTGAGGATCAGATCTAGAAGAAAACAATAATTTTATATTAAATTCTAGATGCTAATTAACTTTCATGTGATTAACCTTCTTTCTACAAGAGAATTATAGGGAGTTAATTTGGTACTTTACTTCATTTGGCTCAGGTTAACTAAGATTTTATGCTGTACCTAAGGAAATGTGTACAAAGAAAGTGTTATGAATAGAGGAAAAAGTTTGAGATATGAGCAACTTGGAGGATTAATGGTACCTGCTTTGGAAGGTTTCTTGGTGGTGTTATTTCTTGTTATAAGATTTAACAAGCCAGGTAACAGAAATGCCATTTTTTAAGAATCCTAACACATATGTCCCATCTTATGGGTCTGATCACTCTAAGCAGGTCCCACCAGAGGACCTAATGCAGGAGACATCTGTGTCTGCCCTCCCAGGTGGTGATTCTGTGTCCCTTCACTGGCATCCAGCAGACTTTCCCCTGCAGCAACTGGCTAGATGAGAAGAAAGCAGATGGACTGATCGAGAGGCAGCTCTATGAGATGGTATCCCTGAGGAAGAAGCGGCTGAAAAGTAAGTGCAAGAGACCCACAATCTGGTGACCTCTTGAACAGGCCAGCAAAGCTAGGATGTCAGACCATGGAGGGAAAAGCAGGATCAGAAATGTTTCTTAGTTCTCCTCCAGAAAGAAAGGGAAAGAACCTTCGAGGAAACTCAGTTCTCTAAGGTACAGCCACACAGTTTTACACCTGGCAGCAAGGTTCCCTCCCCAGTCCCCAAACTGAAAAAATTGCTGTGATGTGTGATTCACTAAAGTGCATTCTGAATATACCTGACCCAGAATCCCCAGGGTCAATGCTTCTGCCCATTTAAAATACTCATTAAATAGAACATTAAGGCACCATATTTTACCATAAAGGAATTTTAGCTTTCTAAGTTTGGTACTTTTATAATGGGATTTTGAGGACACTTTTATGTAACCTGCCTTTCAATCCTGGTCACTCTCGACTCTTTCCACTGATAACATGAAAGTTCATTTACTTCTTGAAATTTACCATGAAACTTTCCCTGTCTTACAGAATTTCCATGGTCTCTGTGGGTCTGGACAACTGACCTGAAGAAAGCTGGTACCAACTCGCCCATCTTCATCCAGATTTATGGGCAGAAGGGGCGGACAGATGAGATTCTCCTGAATCCCAACAACAAGTGGTTCAAACCAGGTGTAATTGAGAAATTCAGGGTAGGAGAAAAACATGATGGGGTGGGAGGCAGAAAGGAGGAAGGGGTTTAAGGGATATTTGTTATAGGGATTCTGGTTTCCTAAACCAGGGTTGGATCAAGTTTGAAGACAAAAAGGTACAATGGAGTTGTTAGGCTCTTACAGGGGGGACAAATTTGATGATTTACACAGAAGGTATTCAAAGAGATACAATCTAGACCTGGACCTTCATCTGAAATGAACAATTCAGAACCAAGCCTGAGAGAAGTCAGTGGGGAATGGTTTCAGACATCCGGGAGGCAAGTGCCCTGATCATCTTGTACATCAGAGACCCTGAACACATGTCATATTAGATTGCCTGATCTGGACTGAATTAGAACCAAATTAGGGCCAAATTTTAGGGAAAGTATTAATTTTAGAGCATTTGAAAGAAATTCAGCTTTAAAACTTTCCAGTGTGTATATAACTAGAGCGAACCTTTTTTTCCCAGAAAACTGCTGCTTTGACCTTTAGGTAGGAATATTTGGTAATTTGCTGCCACCCTCTCAGAGCATCCCATTGGCCCTCTGTTCTAGCCCTCAGTTCATTGCTCTTTATGTATTTGTCTTCTCTGCCAGACCTGAGCCCCCAGGGAAAGGGCACGGCTGCTGTATTGATCTTTTTGTCTGTTTCAGTGCCCAGCAGAGTCCTGGGGGTGTGGGCCTGTGCTAATTTTCAGGGTTGTCATGCAGATTTTGTTACTGGAAGTTTATTGCCTGGAAGATCTTCTTTAGGCTGCATCCCACTGTGGGTCAGTTATTTTTGTTCACTTTTGCCAGCTCAGACCCTAGCTTCGCATGGCTGTCTTGACCCTGTGTTCCACTGGTTGTCAGGAAAATGAGAGAAGAGAATGTGTGAAGGTGGCCTCAAGCAAACCCATCCTGGCTATGAAGAAACAGTCCAACCCAGGCACCCTCCTGGTTTGTGTCAGCTGTGAGAATAAATGTGTTTCCTTGGTTATGCCCACTCAGATCTTTTTATTTCTCATTATAGATTGAGCTCCCAGATCTGGGCAGATTTTATAAGATTCGAGCATGGCACGATAGAAGGAATCCTGGTTCTGGATGGCATTTAGAAAGGGTGAGATGCACAACTGTGGGGGTTGGGAGAGAAACCAAAATTGTCCCTTGTTATGACTGTGTCACATAAATTTATTTCCATGTTTATTGGGAATGGAAGTGGGGAGGGCTGGATACCATAGATACTTTTTGATGGGGAGAAGTCTTCCAAAAAAGACTGAGGAAAATGCTTAGGTGTCCAAGGGGGTGTGTATTCTGCACCAGTCACCTGGGTGCTAGGCAAGTGCAGGTCTCTAGAGGATCCAGGGAAGAATTATTAATCTGGCCTTCTGCCTTCCACAAGGGTCATCTCTAGAATGAACCTTTTGGAGATGAGATAGCAGAATGGGGGCTGTAGGGCATGGCTGAAGACCTCTAGTATACTCACATATATTTCAGATGACCCTGATGAACACTCTGAATAAGGACAAATATAACTTCAATTGCAATCGCTGGCTGGATGCCAATGAGGATGACAATGAGATTGTGAGAGAAATGACTGCAGAGGGCCCAACAGTGCGGAGGATAATGGGCAGTAAGTACCTACTAGCTCTCCATTCTATGGGAGGCAACGAGGCCTGGCCCATGAGCTGTCCACCATCAGGCCCCCTTCTGAGTGCCAAAGTGAATCCAAAAGGTCCCAGCCTCAAGCCTGGCTTGAAAAACCCTCCTCCAAGGCATTATGCTAGCACTCCACTATAATGGGTGTGTTGGGGAGGGACAGAGATTTATGAGTCTCCAGATTGGCCATGAGAGGTTGAGATGGATGCACACTAAATGATGGTTTTGTGGAGCTCCTTGAAATTAAAGAAAATACCTTTTTGACTCCCCCAAGTTAGGTTATTTGGGAAATACTCCTCTACAAGGAAGGCTAGATCTGGGTTCTTGTAGCTACAGCTGGCTTTCATGTAATGAGTCCTCTGTCTCTATGTTAGGCTAGCAGAAGAGCCAATCTAGAATCTAGCATTCACATTTGAAGAACAAAAGGGGATCACTTTGCTTCTAGGTTACAGTAGCAGAGTGTTTGCAAGTACACAGCACTTGTTCCATCCTTTCCCATGGCAAACATAAAGTGATGGCACCATTCTCTCCCACTGATTCTAAAATATACTTTGTAGCCCTCAATATTGCACTGGAATAGAAATTACCTATTGATTGAAACTGGCATTTAAGATAATTAACCTGTTTACTATTTTCATGAAAATAGTTTTTCCAATAATAAGAATAATAATAAAGAAATATTGCAAAACCACAAAAAGTTAAGAAAGTATAGAAAATGATGTCACCCATGATTCTAGTAGCTACTAAATATTTCAATAATGTCAATTTACAGGGAACCATGTGATGCTTGTGAGTGCAATACTGTGCATATACACACTCTGTAGAAGCTCTCTCATATATATATATATATGTTTAAATTGTTTGATTAGAGTTACATTATATAGAAAATATCTAAAATGAGATCATCTAGTCTGTTACTCTAATTAACCAATGCTTTTAACTAGCACTATGTTTCCTCTATTTTATGGTTCCTCTTCATTCATAATTAAATATATGACTATAAGATATTTCTATTCAAGGATTCTTACCATAACCTAATGAAGAACTGAAGAATTTCTTGCCATAATAACAGTTAGTTACGGAAGGAGTTAGACCTTGGTTAGAGATGCAGTTAGACTAATATTTCATTTCCTGGTTCAGTATCTAACCTAAAACAGTTAAGACTGTCCTAAGACACCACCCTTCCTTTTCACATTCAGTAATACTGGCTCTGGATAAAAAGCTATTATCTCTCTGTAAATATGATACTACTATCAGCTCCCTCTCATTGGAAGAAATACACCTGTATGAGGGTAGAAACTCTCATATGAATTTGATATGTGGATCTTACCTGATATGTGCATTTCGTGTGGTGGAAATTGTGTCAGACATAAAAACTAAGAAGAGGTTTCTGGGACCTAACTGCTTTCTGAATTTTTTCTAACCAATCCTTATGACTTTGGTACCTTACCCTGTGCTTCTAAAATTACCTGGTACTTTCATTCCTGAGGGTTTTTGTTGGATTGCTTCTCAAAATTTCACAATTAATAGCTCTGATCAATCCTTCCTGCTCTAGTAGGTCAACTGTTCTCAGATTTTAGGGTACATTATCACCTGAAGGTCTAATTAAAACATAGGTCACTGGACTCCGTTGCAGACAGAGACTCTAATCCAGCAAATCAGCATTGATATCCTAGAATCTCCTTATTAACAAGTTCCTGGATAGCGTCAATACTACCCTTTGGGAAGCACACTTTTAGAACCTCTAGGTTAATGTATATACCACCTTTCTAAATGCTCTTCACCTTCCAAAATCAATTTTATGTTGCTGTTTCCTTGCTTGTTCCCTCCTTCTAGTCTTGTTGATGAGACCTTATTTTTGGTCAAAAATAAAATAACCTATGGATTATTTTTGGTGAGTGTTTTCCAAGGAGAAATCTACTACTATTTTTACCTAGAAGGCTCAGAAAGTTCTTACCAACAATCCCTCTTTGCCTTGACTGAAGCACGACGTACTCCAAGAACCTTGTGTTTCCTCCTCATGGACTGTAGGATTGGGTGGAGTGAGGCGCACTAGCTAGTGACTCCCAGTCACTCCCAGCTACTTACCCAAGACAGGGTGCTGAATCCCTTGGTTATTTGCTAGACACCAGTTTCCGCCACAGTGCCAGGACAATGTGTTATCGCCGGAGGGCTGCCATAACAAATGATTGTCCCATCGACCTTAAATGCCGAGATACATTCTCTCATAGTCCTGGGTCCAAGATCAAGGTTTTGGCAGGCTGGTTTCTTCTGAGGCTTCTCATGTTACCCTGCAGATGGTTGGGTTGTTCTTGTTTTATCCTTACCTTGTCTTCCTTCTGGGTGTGCACTTGGCTGTCCTATTCGTTTCTTATAAAGACACCAGTCAAAATGGATCAGGGCCCATCTATGTGACCTAAATTTTCCTGAGTTACCTCTTATAAAAGCCTTGTCTTCAAACACAGTCACATTTTGAAGTAGAGAAGGTTAAAAACTCTTATATGAATTTTATATGTGGATCACAAGTCAACCTATAACAGACAACATCTCTCAAAGCCTGGTCCAGGGCACATCTACATTAAAAGTCCCCTGGAATATTTATTAAAATGTAGATTCCTGGGCCTAATCTCAACTATGCTGAATAGACTCCTTGAGGACTATGCCTGGTAATGTGTACCACAGCAAGCATGCCTACTAATGTTTATGCCAACTTAAATTTAAGAGCATTTGTGTGCTTCTTTCAGTGTCCATATGGTACCACCACCCCCACCACCACCACCAACATACTGGTACCTAGCCACTGTGTGGACATCTACTCTCAACCCACCTGACCAGTCACGCCTGTCCCATCTAACCAGCCCACTCAAGCTCATCTCACAAGCTGTTCCCACTTGGGCTTCCTCATGTCCTCTGACAAGGCCCTGCCCTTCCAGCCTTCTCCTTACTCTGGTCCACTTCACTCCAGCCCTAAGTCCTCCAAGCTCTTTCCTCCCCACACTTCTCTTGGTCTCTTAGGGCTGTCCCTCGATGGGTTTGTGGAGTGTGAATTTGAGGTACAAATCTATAAACAGTTATCCAAGGGAGAACAAAGGAGGCCTGATCAGGCAAGAGATGAGAAGACAAGAGGAGTTGATACATTCAAGAACTGTTTTGGAGGTGGAACTGGCAGAGCAAGGCATATGAATACTGTGAAAATAGCAATTGGGAGAAACTTTGCAGATAAAGTAACATTGGAGCCAGGTCTCCTACTGAAGGCTCTGACAGGCAAGGAGAGACCAGGGGAGGAAGAGCATTTCCACAGGCTTACCTATATGATGTGTTTGTAACATTTGAAAAATTATAAAGTGTAGGACTGACATGGTTGTTGTTTATTTTTGTCTTCTGTAATTCTATTAAAGAAGTATTTCAGTAAGAAAAAAATTCTAATAATTATCCTGATGGAAGGGCTGCCTGCCCTGCCTGTAAGGGCAGTTCGATGTCTTTTGGGAGGTCTTGGCTATTCTTTAGAACCCCTACCAACTTAAATTTCTTTCTCCCCAAATATTTGTCTTGTGCTTTGAGCATACCTGTGTCCTCACTCAGATCACCTTTTCTGGTCTAGCTGCTTCTTTGTAATATTAAACAGAGCTGAAAACAATGTCCTGCTTCCCCAGTGGACACCAGTGTGTGGTAAATAATGTGCATGGCTTCCTAGAGATCGTTTAAGTGGAGAGACTTGGATTCACATACAATGAGTAAATACCAATTTAAAATCAATTCTCTGAATTTGAAGTTGTGTGTCCTGAGTTTGCTTGCAAAATAATGGCCAGCCAAATCAACAATTAATGCCATGTCTGGAAGCTGAGAGCCTTTGGGGAGCGATTGGATTGATTAACACAGATTGGAAGACAGACAAAACATATACCAGCTCACAATTTATTTCCACCTTGCGTTTCCCTCAGGAGCTATGTGAGATACTAAAATAAATGAAATCAACATTCTCCACTGTGATTACACACCACTGATGAGTGGGCATGAGTCCATTGGACTTGAGTGCTGAGCATTGTCGCTTCTCATTAATCAGAACGAGCTGTAATTTTTAAATTAAAGTACAAGAGGCTCTGGTACTTACCCATCTGTTTTAAGTTTTTCACTGCTGATGTCTAGCAATGTTATTTTTCTAATTATCTGCAGACTTCTTATCAGGAAGAGTGTAGGACCTCAGTGGCTGTTGGTCTCCAAGGAGCCCCTAAGAGAGTGACCACCCTTAAGAACATTCAGCTGTATGGATCTTAGAGTTCCTGAGCAAAAGGAACTAGAATTCCCAGGCAAAGTGATTTCTAAATTCCCTCATCACTTGGCTTCTGGGAATTGCTTATTCATCACAGCTACAGAAGCACAACAGGCCTTCATCAAAATTCAGAGTGCAGCAAGGCTGGTGTTTAGGTCCTTGACTTCCCTTTTGTGCCTCATGTCTCCATTTTTCTATTCTCACTCTAGTCAGTGCTGTTTGTTCCTCCTACTGCAAATGCTAATATCATTGAGTGTAACACAGAGTCAACCTCACTTATACAAAGGCTGAACACTTACAGCATTGGAGCACTTGAATTTTAGAAAGAGAGAATTTCAGGTGCTGTGTTCCTGTGGAAACAAGGTTGGGGCCAGGGAACTTTTCCCTTAGTATTAATGTTTCAGTGCCTACCAGAACCAGCTTTATTCAAGGCAAGCTATATGCACAATAATGGTTTATGCTGTTTCTAAGAGCTTTTGTTACAGTCACTGTATAATCAAGTATCCGCATGTCTAACTGTCAAATTTATTTTTCTTTTTTAAATTTTATTTAAAGAGAAAAAGAAAAAAACCAGAAAAGGGTACAAGTAATACAGAATTTCAAAAAAATAAACAGTAAGAAATCACTAGCTAATAGATTACATATTGTCATCTTAGAAATAGTTGTTCAAGTTACAAAACTAAAGCATACAAAGTGGACATTCA